AAAGGAACTCTTTTTCATATCCTGGGCCTCTTTTACTAAGTTAGAAAAATATGCTTGACACCCAGTATCTGATCAGCCACGAATTCTTGACATTTGGGAGAGATGTGTCCTCAGTCTTTGAAGAACCTTACATTTGTTAATACAAAGTGTTTTTAGAATCTTGAATATTGCCTAAATAACATTTTCATCAAGGTGTTTTTTTTTGTTTGTTTTTGTATTTGCTTTTTTGAGCACATCCTCACACTATGTTATTTGCCTTTTAAAACTTTTCGTCACTTTGATATTTTTTTCTTACGGCATGAGCTGTTTTTGCCGTGACTGAAACACAAATTACTTTTTTAAATTATTAAAAGTTAGGCTTATTGAGGTATAATTTACATATAGTAAAATTCACGCTTTTCAGTGTACAATTCTGTGAGTTTTGACAAAAGCCTATAGTCTGGTAACCACCACCATAATCAAGATATGGAAAGTCTTATCTCCCCAGAAAGTTCCCTTGTACTCCTTTATAGTCAACCTCTTCTTCCTCCAACCACTGGCAAACACTTTTCTGTTTTCTTTCTCTAAAGTTTTGCCTCTTCCTAAATGTCATAAAAATGGAATGATGTTTATACTACATAGCCTGTTGTGATTGTCTTATTTCACTTTAATAATGTATTTGCAATTCATCTACGTTGTTGCATGTATCAGTATTTTGTTCTTTTTGTTTGCTAAGTAGTAGTCCACTGTACGGATGTACCACAATCTGTCTCTTCATTCACTAGAACAACATTTGAGTTGTTCACAGTTTTGGAAATTATGAATAAAATCACTATACACATTTGCCTACAGCTTTTGTGTAAACATATGTTTTAATTTCTCTTGTGTAAATACCTAGGAGAAGGATTGCTGGTTTGTATGCTAAGTGTATATTTAACTTTATAAAAAACTGCCGAACTGTTTTCCAAAGTGGCTGTACCATGTTACATCCTCTTCAGCAATGTTGGAGAGTTCCAGTTGCTTTGCATCTTGTCAGCTGTCATTTTGTTACTGTCAGTTTTCCCCCATTTGTCCATTCTAATAGGTGTGTATCATTGTGTTTTAATTTGCATTTCCCTAATGACTAATGATGTTGAACATCTTTTGTGTGCTTATTTGCCATTTGTAGGCCTTCTCTGCTGAAGTGTCTGTTAAAATTTCTTCATTATTTTTTGTATTGGTTTCTTGTTTACTTGTCACTGAATTTTGAGGGTGTTTAAAATATATTCTGGGTATAAGTTCTTTATCAGATATGCATTTTACAAATATTTTTTCTCAGTCTATGGTTTGACTTGATAGTGTCTTTGAAAGAGCAGGAGTTGTGAATTTTGATGAAGCCACCAACTGCTTTTAAAAATCAGTTTCTACATAAAGGATGTGATAGACTTATTGATCTCAAATTCGGGGCCACCACCAAATTTTGAATTCCACTTCTTAACTTAGCAAAAAATTTACCAACGCTAAGGCTGGCTTCCTTTTTTTAACTAAACAAAGTTCGTTTTGTTTAATTACTCCACATAAACAATTGCATATGTGACGATAGTCAAAAAAGAGCTGCATTGGGGTGACGATGCCAGGTTATCATCCAGGCTTACCAGCCAAGTGGCTCCCACACACCAACATTGCAGGGTGTGATGCAAATTTGTGAAAAAAATTAGAGATCACTGTATTTCCTCTAAGAGGTAAGCTCCTTGAGGTCAGGGATTTTCTGTTTTGTTACAAGCTCTAGAACAGTGTCTAGTGCTCAGAAAATAACGATAGAATGAAATTCAATGGCCTTTATGAAAGGTGATGCAAAATGTCCCAAGGCATCCAAGGCTCTGGCTGTCAGGGTCACCTGAGGACTGAGGCCAACACTGCCAATGTCATAACTTGCATGTCAAGGGACGGCCCAGAGTCCTGTCCTGGGGCTTTACCCTGCATCATACTGCTTTCAGGAGCATGGAAGAGAATCCTAGGGCCCTGGCCTTGATTAGCGTTTCTCAGGGAGGCCTCAGTTTCTGAGGGAGAAACTTGGATAAGGACACATTAGCCTTCTGAGAAGAGTATGCTGTAAGGAGAGCTGAATCTCTGTAGCTAGGTGACCTGAAACCATTTGTGGAGTTTTGCTGTTCCACCTTCTTCTGACTGCTGTGGTGCATAACCCATCCCCCTTCACCCTGCTCCGCCCCTAAATGGTGGAGGGATCAGGCCAAGGTTGAAGTCATTGGCACAGCTGAAGCCAGGCTGTCTGTGGTGGAGCCCCGCTTTTGTCCTGATACTATTTTGAGTTATGGTGTGTGGTTTCAGCATTTGGGCCAGCTTTAATCACAACACAATCCCATCTTTTAAGGGTCGAGTGAGTCCTCCAAGAAAGGAAACTGCTGAAGAGATTTTCCTCAAATATTGAGGCCTCTTCCTTCTGAGAATCTTATTTTAAAGGTAATTCAGGAGGAAAAAGCAGAAGCTCCAGATTTAAGGCAAAGGAAGAATCTAGGGGGGAGGGTATGTATGTGGTGGTGATGGGAACGGGGGTGGCAGTGGGCCACGGGCAGGGAGGTGGCAGTTCATGCAAAGTGGTCCCAGCTGCCCCTGGTTTACGGGCTAATCCCGGCTCCACTCCAGCCTGTCATTCAGGGTAAGCTGCTATCATTAGTGGTTAAACATTTCTGAAAGTATTCTCTCTCAACTCTGACCGCAGGCCCTTTTGGGGGAGGGAGGGAGGAGCCAGGAGAGTGATGGGACCCACCCTGTTGTCATGCCCAGCTGCTCTGCCGAGGGACAGGGAGCTGGACATAATCTTGGGCTTGTCAGAGCCCGTGCGTGTGACAAGACTGCTGTTGCATTTTCTGTGCTGCCCACGCAGCCTGCTGCTCCTTAAGGGATATAGGCCTGCGCTGTGGGCTGTGAGTACCAAATCAGAGAGGCTTTTTTGTCCTTTGAAAGGGATTCTTGGCTGAAATAAACCTTCTGTTAACCAATTTTATCCCTACCAAGCTCTCTGCCCTCAACATGTATACACACAATCTCCAGTGGCTAAAGCCCGTCTTTCCCTTTGGAACTTGTCTGTACTCGTTCTGCTTTTGATGAGAAGTTGTGGTAAAATGCTCAATACTAGCATTTCTTCCCATGAAGTAGGGACTTTGAAATATTTTTCTTGACTGAGGTGTGGTTAACAGCTTTTGATTTATGAAATTAGCTCAGGGAAAAATAAAATGGAAAAAGAGTTCAAATTAAATCTTTATTTCCATAGCTCAGTTGTGCCTTCTCTATCCGTTTTTAACTGCCACGCAGTCGTTAGGTATGAAGGAATCCAGAGTTTGCTAGGTTTCTTCTTCGTTTCTTCCTCTTCTTCTCCCTCTCTTTCTCCTTCTTCTTTTTCTTTTATTTTTGTAGTGTCGGCCCAAGAAAAGCCATTTATTTTTCTTTTTTAAAAAATGTGTTTTTTCCTTGCTCAAATGTATACAAGCTCAATGAAGAAAACTAGAAAAATCTAGAAAAGCACAAAAGGAAAAGCTAAAGGCATTCATATTCCCCACACCTAAAGATAATTACTGTTAAAACTTTGGCTTATGCCCACTTTGTTGGAAAAAATCCATTTCTTGTGCTAGAGAAGATAGTGGAGGTACTTTTTATTCCCCTAGGAACCACCTAGTTTGTTGTGCTGCAGGCTTGTCTCAAAACACTGGACTAGAGTCTGACTAGTGGAGGTGTTCCGGTGGGTACAGCGCAGCCCAGCTGGGGAACTTCTGATGGAGCTCTTCATCTCGCCATTGGCTAGGTGACTAGTGAAATAATCTCCTGGGAGGGATTTAGCTTAAGTCCAGTCTTCCCACTCCAGTCTCCAAACAAAGAACCTGGGCTTTTCACACCTGAATTTGAGTCTTTGCTCCATTGCTTAGTTTCTACCGCACTTCTCTGTGTCTGTTTCCTTATCTGTAAAATGGGCATTATAATAGTAAGCTACTTCTAGGGTTGCCACGTTACATGAGACAATGTATGTAAAGGGAACAGCACAACCACAGGTACCAGGAACATAATGTTGCAGCTCTATGCACAGTATACTCCCATTGTCATAGTTATTACTTTTATTGTTGGTCATGTGGTATATAGATTGTTCTCTGGACCTCTGTTTCTCTGCCTGGAGAGGGGTGGTCTTTTCTTCACTGGATAATATTTAAATCATCTTACTGTTGAAAAGTGGTATATAATGACTAAGCATTAGAATAATCTCCTTTGACAAAAAA